TTATGAACATAGAAAAAACCTCCTCTTAATATAAATAAACATGTAACTTCAAATTTATAAACACGTAACATTGTAACATAACTTTGTATTTCATGCAATTTCAATAATTTATAACTTTAAAACGTATAACTTATGTATAATTGTTCAACAACGATAAAACTTGATATTTCACTCGTCTGTGCTTATGATTTGGTAATGCCCATAAGCAAGAGTGTTCACTCCATCGTTTAAAATATAGCGCTTGTCGTCATAAGGGCTAAGACCAATTTTGTTCAATTTAATGGAGTAGATTTCATGGCGTTCACTTCGAATCTGATTCATGCTGGCCATTGTCCGTTTCTTATCAAACAAACATGCCTTGTAGTTGGTGTGTCGAAGCTTCGTTTTGTGACGGACTTCTTTATTCCTTTAGCCGTTTTCTTCTCCTTTTGCTTGTCGTTTTCGGTATAGAGAATGGAGTACATCTTCGGTCGCACGCCAACAAACTCTTGGATAGGTATGCCATGCGTTTCATCTTTCATTTTGCAAGGACTTTCTTGTTCGTCAGGCTGTGCAGTGGATGGTCTCGTGCGTATTCGGATGTGTCAAAGAGATCGATGTCTTGCAACATGTCTTGATAGACGTCGTCGGTCTTAATCTGGTAACAAAGGCTATCCGTGTCTGTGAACAACAACTTTGCGTTGTACTCATACTTGGGTTTCATGTACTCGTAATGAAACTGATACATGAGTACTTTGGAGAGATCCAGGATGGTAAATCCGACGTAGATGGGGCGATTTAGGTAAAGCTTCGTTTTCTTCATGTTGACAGCTGCTAACTCCTCTGAGAATATGCGGAAGTAGTCAAAGGATGGAGATGCTATCAATTTCGATAGTTTCGTCTTATCGTTGACGAGCTTGACGTTAACGCGCTTTCTCAAATTCTCCATGGTTTTGCCGAACACCGAGTTATTCATCAACTTATAGAAATCTTTCTCGAAGTCGTTTGCTGCATGTTTTCGTTTCTCGGTGTTGAAATCGATGTAGGTCTTTAACCATGGGCTTTGTTGGAATACCAAAACGCGGTGGATCTTTGCCAACTTCATGCCAAGTGCCAGGTATTGCTTTAAATTGCGGTAATGAACTACATAATTGGACTTGTTCCGGAGATTCGGCACCAATTTAGATACAGCGCCACCACGAAGTTGCAAACTTTCCGACAGATCCTGGCAGTATGGTGACAACATTTCTGAAGAAATCTTCATTCTCTCAGGCGCTAGAGGATAATCGTTGTGAAGATCGTGTAATTCGAACGGATAGTGTAGGTCTACTTCCAATATGTAGCCTTCATCGTCATCGTCCGCAACGTCCGTGATGTCAAGTTCTGCAATCTCTTGGTCGGTTAGCCAGTCAAATTCACCTGTGGGTAGAGGTTGCGACATAGCCCAGCCATAGAGGTTGTTAGCATCAAGATACATCACGTAGGAGGTATCTTGTTCTGGGTCATAATCGGGAACGTATGGATTGTTAGCTTTACCATAGCGGGTGCTAATCATTGAAATTCCACCGCGAAGACCTTCTTCGATGAATAGATACATGTCTGGATCTGTCAGCAGCTCGAGTTCGACTTCAGTCATTTTCAAACACGCTTGCCAGGCTAGACCAGGACTTGTATAGAAGTGGCAGGGATCCAAGTTGTAGACTTTGAGGCACACGCTTCGAAAATTTTCAAACACATCTGCAAGGAGAAGAACGTCCGACGTCAAGTACAAATCATGGTAATCACCCATGTTCCGACAGGAAAACTTGTTAAATACACTCGTCGCGTGTGCGTAATCTTCGTCTGAAATATGTTCGTCATTCAACACGTTGTAGAAGGATTCCTTCGATGGTAAGGTTGGTTCATTGAATCTCTCTGTACTCTGGTCAAGATGAAGGATTTCGTCTAATACCCAACCACTTCCTTCTTTTTGAAATAAAATTAGTGACTGGGTAATTTTCTGCTTGACCTCCTCTAGTTGATTATGCAGTTCGTGTTGGGCTACTGTTTTCATGCAGAGACTGCGGAAGTGGGGTTCGGTAGTCAAATCTTCACAGTCGGGTTTAGGCTTGACGAATCGAACTTTGACGCTGATGAACCATTTAATACCCCTTTTCTTTACCAACTCGTTGGAAAGGTGGGCCAAAATCGGTTTGGTCTTGCCACGTAAGAAGTGGGACACGTCCTGTTTCTGATCTTTCCGCGGTTTCAACTCGATCTTCTTCAAGGAATCTTCAAACGCCGAATTAGAACTGCAAGGGTTATCTTCTTCGACTTGATTATCGGGTTCATCTTCTTCAACTTGAACTCGTATTTTCTTTGGAGTTGGACTGCTATCGTCTTCGTCTCGGTCTTCGTCACATCCTCTTTTCAAAGGATTCCGTTGACATTGAACTTGATGTCCCACTAAATTATCACGACGATGAAACTCTTTCCTACAATTTTTGCAGATATGTGTGATTGTTCCTTCGTGCCGCCTCTTATGGCGCTTTAAATCATCTTTCCGTGTAAAGGACGCACTGCATTGATCACAGACAAACTTCTTCTCTCCATGCACGGACCGTTCATGACGAGTTAAACTTCTCAGCTGCGTAAAGTTCTTGGTGCAGGCTTTGCATGTAAAAGACATTCTATAAATTGAAAATTGAATTCTCCTTTAGCAACTGCAGCCATAGATACATAAACACAACACGTCAACACCTGTAGCATAATATAAACACATAACATTTAGCATCTTATTGTGGGAGAATAAAATTAAAACATCACGCATGCGAAGGTAATGGCTTTGTCGCCAGACAGCCCTAAATAAACTTCTCTGTCTACAACCACCAGTTCGTTGCTAGACATTCCCAAGCGGAAACAACTCAAACTAGTTGAAATTGTAAACACTTACCCTCAATACAGCAACTCTTTGGATTTCAACTTAACGATGATAATTATCAAACTATTAAATATAAACAGAACACTTTTAACATCTTATTGTGACAGAAGTACTGAATAAAATTTGTACAGCCACCGCTAGTTCGTTGAATGACTTTCCCAAGGGGCCCTTCAGATTCTTTCTTCACAGGTGCAGGCGACAAGGGTACAGTAACACTTAGAAGCGATTTATTCGAACTAACAGCTGGACCGTTCATTGCATGATTTTCCCAAGGGGCACCTCAGATATTTCTTCATTAGTGCAGCCAACAAGGGCACAGCAACTACTAGGAATCGGCTTCTTTGCACTATTAACAACTAAACCGTTCGTTGCATGACTTTCCCAAGGGACACCTCAGATATTTCTTCATAGGTGTAGCAAACAAGGGCACAGCAACTACTAAGAAGCGATTTCTTAGTGCTTTTCATAATAATTGAACTAAATCTTAGTATTTTTTATAATAATTGAACTTTAGTTAATGCATCTTACCTAATCTCCTCTGTCAACTGTCTTAACTCTTCAGTATTTCTCGCAAGTTGCAAAAATAATCGACGTTCGAATTTGCAGGACGAAACCGACGAATGAAGTTTTCGATCAAACCGCCGTATATATCCACAAAACCTTCACCGTTTGATTGTGGGAGAAGATTTAATGAAATAGGTATCACGCATGCGCACTAACAACTATTTATTGAACGTGCTCGAACGTGTTCGTTCTTGTCTGTTCTATGTTACAATTTGCATTTTCACTCATAATATAAAATACTATGGATTGTAGATAGCATGGGAGTAGCGCACACCGTAGCGCACACCGTAGCGCTCACAAATTACCTTTTGTAAACAAAGACGACAGCAATTTAAAATTTCTACAGATATATGAACGGTAACCATATCAGCAATATACTGTGTGAAATAAACTAAAATTGTACACAGCTAACGGTAATGAAGCAACCAGACACTACCAAACGATGTAGATAAATACACGGTAGCGAAATCGCATGAAAATAAACCGAAATTGCTGAGTAACAAACCGGCAAAGCTCAACTATATTAAAATTATCTGAATAAATTAAAATATTTAAGACTCGACGACATCATCGGCGGTGCCTCGTGCACCGCCTGCACCGCCTGCTCCAGAACCGCCACTCTCTATACTACTTATCTGTTTTGAAATGTTTTTTTTGAGGAAAAACGATCTGAGGTATCGCCTTTTTGCGGTAGAATTTGAATGCATACAAACAGTGGCGTAACTAGAACGATAATTGGGGGGGGGTGAATATTCATATATCCAGTTCTGCCCTACGGATTTCTTTTGTATTTGCAAAAGGTTACAATAGAAATCCGTCGGGCAGAACTGAATATATGAATATTCACCCCCCCCCAATTATCGTTCTAGTTACGCCCCAGCATACAAACGATATGCCACAAAATGAAGAAAGGCCTACTCTGGGTCCTCAAGTGGCCTACAATTAAAGTACAACTTATTGCAATTTAAGGCAACTTAAGGCGACTTAAGCATCTAAATAATTCACCACAAGGTCAAATCACGTCAATATACTTTGCAGGAAACATATCTAGAGCAGAAATCTATTCAGAACTTGTGCCTGCCACTCGAGACATTTCAAAATGGCCGCCAAATAGGCCTTAATCGTGTTTATATCGCAAACGAGTACGGTGACACCCGGTGGAGATGGTTTATCAAAAAAAAGTTTTTAAAAAATTCTTTGAGAGGCGATTTTTCGATTCACAAAAACGTTATTTTGGATTATTAAAAAAATTTCCTATTATCTTCCCTATCACGCCTCATACTTGAACGCAAATGGTAATATACGATGTGTTCTCAAATGTTAAATTTGCATATGAAAAGAGTTTAATATCTCGAGAAGAAAGTAAGTTACTAACTTTACACCAAGATGTTAAGTTATTTTAAATGTACTAACCAGTGCAACAACACCCATTTGGAATTAAATGGATACTTTCAAATTATTGAAAGCCATGTCTTTTGTGAACTTTTTAAAAATGCATGCACGGATGCATCACCAGGTAATAAATATATTTACTCACCATAGCCAATGAAGTCAATTCTGACGCATGGTTGACCTGCATACATTATTGGAATAAATCGTAAAGCTCTTGTTACAACATGCAGACGTACAAGATGCTGCCAAGCTGAATGACCGTAAGCATTCTTGTTTCCTTGAAATATCTGCAATGAGAATATAATGAAATTATACATGAAAATATGAATAAATATCCTTCCCAATTATCGTTCTAATTACGCCCATGCACCTCTCTAATTAAGCGTACCAAATTTCAAACATTTAAGAGATTATGTTGAAAACTTCAAATGTTTTCCTGACAAGCTGTTGTTTCCTGACGATATTTTCCCGCTAGGTAAATTTCGTGTGACTCTAATTACGTATATTCATGTCTTTAGAAATGAATTTTTTCACATGCAGGCAATGAACAAACTGGCTATGCCACTGCCTATCAATAAAGTCTGGTGCTCACTGGTGAAGCTAGCACACATGGTGAACACTAGCCACTCCCACATGTTCCTAGTGTATATGTGTAGGCGAACAAGAAGGAATTTCGTTTTAGACCAACCATCAAGTTTGTTTACATTTTCCGTTATCCAATCAGATTGCATAAATTTTTATTACTTCCGGTAAAAAGGCACAATGTTTACCATTTTACATGAAGTATTAAGATTGTAGGCATTCTGATTGGCTTTGTCTGTAAACAAATATGCCGCCCTCCTTGTTGCGCTGGCGCCAATTATTAGTTTTTGATCGATGTTAGTTTTTACGCATCATATTTTGTTTTCTGCTCCTTCTCACCCTGGAGATCATTTTCCACTTTACTAAATCCGTTGTGTAATTCAATTTATATGTAATGATCCACTTGGGACTGGTTCGGTCACCATATGTTACAAAATAATAGATTCGATAAAGTGTTCTTAAGTCCACTTGAAGATAATGTCTGCCGCCCGATACAGGAGCACACCAAGAACCACCACTAGATATCCTTGCATCCGAAGCAGTGTGACCTTTCATAGAAGCTGTAGCGGAAAATGAAGAATCGGGAAACTTTTGTTTTTCGACCAAAATCACTTTATGGAGAGTGCCATAAAAACGATAATAACCTGAAATTTGAAATCAAGATCGTTTATATTCTGGATATTGACGAGAGTTTGAATCTTAGATAAGTCAAAGGTAGTTTCAAACTCGCTGAATTAAATGTATTAAAATACATTAATTTCTATATTTTAGTTATTTATCCGTTTCAAGATTTTTTACATTAAATCATGCAGGCTTCTTCAGGGAACTTACATTCGATGTAAGATAGTTCGGAGCAACTTTGTGTGCCATCAATAATTGAACACTGCGATAAGTATTTCTCATCACCAGTACATGTTATACTTCCAGAGAAAACAACATCTTTGGGATTCATTGGAATGGACACATTCAGTATTGAGCGAGCATTGCTGTACCCAAGCTGACGACACACAATATTCCTTGCCTGGTCGTTTCTTAAACTTTGCCGACAAATATTCATTACCCCACTATCAGTGGTTATTTGTGTGACACCTTCGGTTCTCAAGGACGAATATGACAGAGACAAATCGTGAACTTAAAAAAGAGATACAACGATTTATTCATTGGCAAGTATGACTTACTTATTGATACACTATATGCTGATACGAGCACCGATCAACGCCTGACATTACTGATATAGACATACATAATTCTGGAAATAACCTGGCGCATGCACACTGGTGAACTTGCAACGCGCACATGCCACTTGTGAAAATCGTCATCTAGAGATACCGTACTGTCCATGCCGTGGTCGAACCACGGTGAGACCGATGTTGAATCTCGGTCAAACTCTCTGTCTGACGGATATTTCTTAAGGTGTTTTCAATTTGATTATTGTGTTATCGTTTACAGCAGTTGATAACATTCTGTTCGGAAGCGAACGTCGACCGCGGTGGTATATTTTTCCCCTGAGGTAGTCTGTGGTTTCTATCGCCGTCTTCGTCGATCGCAACCGAACCGCACCGCAGTGTTAGGTTATTTCTGGACAGTACTCTATGTCTTTTTTAGATCTCCATGCTTCCAAAACAGGCGAGTAAAGCGCTTTCTTAAACTTAAACCAAGGTTGAAGTTAATATCGAAATCCAGCTAACGCGACATGACGCCTAAGGCCCCGTCCACACGATACCGGAAGAACTTGAAAACGCAAGAATATTCTTACGGTTACGTGTACCGTCCACACGTACCCCGCGTTTTCGCCCACTGAAAACGGAAGGATCTGAAAACGCTATCCAGAGTGGAAGAATTTGAAAACGACGGCTGAGCGGATACGTGTGGACAGCTTTGCCGGATAAATTTGAAAACGATGACCTCACGTATCAAGTCGTTTCCATATTAATGAGGCTTGTTTCAAGTCAGGTGGCTTATGCTCAACTTTGTATTACTATATTAGCCTCAAATAAGTCTTATTTAGGTTATTCTCATGGTGAGTAAAATCTTCGGCAATTCTTGTAGCATTTGCGGACGTATTTTACGAGAGAAAATGTCCAAAATGCAGGAGTATGGTTATACACAATTTCTTATACACGACATGCATTTAATAGATACTCAACAACAATATTTATGAGTTCAGGCTTGTCGTCTGTCCAAACAAAGTCCTCATGTTTGTTTTTTACTTTGGATTTGGTAGATTTTTGCTTTGAATTCGACATCCAACCTGTGACACGTGGGTGGAAAACATGAAGGTGTATTGCGAGATCAAATAACTTTAGCGTTTTCGGGTCATTTTTGTGTTTACGTGTGGACGCCGAAAAATATTTTAACGGATGAATATTTTTGCATTTTCAAATTCTTCCGACATCGTGTAGACAGGGCCTAAAACGCCCTGAAAATGGCGTTATCACAACCATGCATGGATGGACACATTACGCCATATCTACGCAATACTTGCGACGTCTTAGGCGTCCCGAAAAAAAAAAGTTTCATCAAGCCATACAAGAAAAAATAACGAGAATTTTTTTTAAATTTGAACTGATCATAATGGCAATATATAAATTATACCGTTAGGCCAATAGTGTGGTGACTATATAGTGACCAGATTTCAGTCTTGATAAACACGGGACCAAGAGCCGCAAACGAGTTTACACCCCTAAAATTAAGCTTTAAGTAACCACCCCGACGTGCACGATCATAATATAGATGACAACTCTCGATTTCAACCTGGAGTGTGAATTACACCAGCAAAATTAGCAGTAGTAGTAGAATTGCATACCGCAAGGTGCTCTGTACGTTTTCACAGTATCCACGCATTGATATTCAAAGTAAAGGTATGTTTTCAATCCAGGACATCTGTCTGCCGAGAACAAGGTGTCATTCACACGGATTCTACATTCATGAAGACCATCGCATTGCTTCTTTACAAGACATGTAACATCAAGTTCACAACTATAATCAGTTAAACTGAAACCACAAGGCTTTGTTGCGAGTAATCCACGGAACGAGGCAATCTTGACCACCATGTATTGATTTTTAGGACAGTTGGCATTCTTCACCATATCACCATAGCACGTCACTGTACCTTTAATAGAAACAAATACTTTGGTTTAAAATCAACGCTAAGCTACCTGCTTTTTGAAATAAACAACAGCCACCTTCCTGTGCATTATATAAAAGGTATTATATATAAATACTGTTTTCAACTTTTTGTTAGAACTTCTGTAGAACCTATCTTCCACTCACGACAAAATGTTAGTTTAGGTACTGCTATTAACCTCCCCCCCCATGAATTTAACAAATATTAAAGTAGATAATTAAAAACTTTCTACAAAAGCTTAAGTAAAACAAATAAAATAATCTTCAGCCGTCCTGAAACATACCGAAAACAAATCTTTGTCTCCTATGGTCACATTCTGAAATCAGTCCCAGGTAGTGATGTATTCCATAATCTTTCTTAAGCTGGTAGTTTTTTTTATACGTTGCACACAAGGCTTCAAATGTACTATTTTCCCCACGTTTATACAAAATAGACAATGTTCCCTTGGGTGTCTGGTTTATAGCACGATGGATACCTCGCTTCTCAGCACATGCAGCTGTGTCTAGATATAACAAATCAAGATCATAACAAGAACCAGACAAAGTACCACCAGCAAGACAGCCTTGTCTTTCTATATTCAACATGGCGCCATTATCTCGGAACCGAAACTGAGCTGATGGATCCAGACAACTGTCTTGAGCGAGTTCCAAAAATGACGAATTCCCCCAATTGTCTTCTGAATGTATTACACCTGTATCGTTGACACAGTGAGGTTTCAGTCTATTGTAGCCGTTCAATTTTCGTAAAAAGAAACAGGCAGCATCTCAAAAAGAGAAAAATTGACAACATTTGCTAAACTCTGCAATTCTGAGAGTATTTCGTTACATTTACGATCCCTATTACGGGGTTGAGCTTCGGGTTTCCAAGCAAACCGTAGACAGCAAGGCCGACATTATTTGATACTTCCGGATGGCCAGCCGGATGTCGTTTATGCAAGTGGAAAAACGTAGGAAAACATACAGAATATCCATCATATAGGCGAGCAATATGACCTGTCAGTTTTATATATAAATCGGGCCTATGGCAATATATGCCTAAGGGTTGCACTCCACTGTTGCGTTTTTTGCATGTACGTACGCGCCCTGTATAATATATTGTTGTGAATTTAATTTTATGCCTGGAAAAACCCAATCACGAACAGAATCCAACTCTATGCATGTATTCGTTGATTCCATAAGTATCATTTAAATGTTTTTAAACTTTTACGTGCGTGTAGCTACATGCGTATATATACAAAAAACGTAACAATGGAAATTAAGAAGCCCTGTACAGAATATAATACAGACTATGCAAGTTCACGAATCAAAACTTAGGTTGAAAGGTCGTTCTTTCGGCAATCAAAGGCGGGTTAAACAAAGAGCGAAACTTGAAAATTAAAATTAAAGCCAGGAAATTAGTTTACGGCTTTTAATTTACGTCCGCGCGATGTTTCAATCGCTCCTAGGCCTGTTTTAAAAGAAAGCTAATACGTAATTTTTATCGTAAAATATTAATTGTGATCGCAAGAGGTTTAAGGCTTTCAGTTTTGAAACGGATGAAGAGAATAAACACTCCATGTTTATTTATGTATATTCAAGTGTTTTCATTCCTATATTCATACCTATATTGCTTTTACACTGCAAACTTGGGCACGCGTGAAATAATTTTGTGCAATAACAACCATAACTTCGCATTAATAGTGGTATAAAAATTAAAATGCTTAAGATAGACATAAAAACTTCAGCCTCGATGTCTCTGCGTAATTTTAATAAGTGGAGACTGGATATAACGCAGTTATAATATTACGTATATTCACGAACCAAGACTTTAGGGTCGCTCTTCCGGTAGCCAATACGCGGGGTAAACAAAGAACAAAACTGGGAAATACAAATTAAAGTCCAGCAGATGACTTTGCTTATGAATTACGCTTCCGCCTGATGTTTCAATTGCTCCTGTTTTAAAAGAACTTCATTACGTATTTTTTATCTTAAACGTTTAAATTCAATTAACAATAGATCTTATCAGAAGAAGAAGAAACTTTATTTAAAGAGGGTAACATTGATTACTGGTGAACCAGTAGTTTACATAATGGCCCTCGATTAACGTATGGCTATAATTACAATAGTTTTATGCAACGGATATTATATACTAATATTACCACTTATTTAACGTATTTACCTTGCAGAAATGGAGAAACAACAAATAATGTAACAAACAGAAAACACCTTCTAAACATCTTCTTTATTTGACAAGGAAGCAATTCCAGCGATAGATTTATAAGTCGTGAACCGCAGGCGGAGCAAGACAAAACGAATCATGTAATATCGCTGCCCTATGTAAAAAAAAACATGAAATATTAATAGTGATATACACGAGGCTTAAGACTTTCAGTTTTGAAACGGAAGAAGAAAATAAACAATCCAATTTATTTATCAATTGCTTTCATTCCTTGCCTAATTTTTATACAAACTCATGCAGGCACATGAAATAAATTTGTTCATACTCAATTACCATAATCTCGCATTGAAAGTGGTATAAAAATTAAACCATTTGAGAGAGATCAAACAACTTCAGTCTCGGTGTTTCGACCTAGGGGCCGTTTTAGGCGATTTTTATAGCCGCATCTTCACTTTTCTGCTCCTTGGACGTGACCCATTACGACTAAAAATGCAGAAAATTTTGCGACGGCGATTTGAACAAGCGGTTTCTTTGTCATCATTTATTGTGATATGATTTATTACCCCCGATCCGGCACGGAGCGCTTTGCGAGGTTAATACCCGAGTTACACCCGAGTTACCCGGGTATTGTGACATAAAGTTGTTCAGATTCTATGACATACCGTTTTGTTAGTAATGCAAGCGCGAAATTTTAATTAGTGGAGACTAGTAATTAGCAATCTACCGATTGGCTGAGACAGAAACAACAGCCAGCTGAACTGAGCATAACAATCAATCAGAAGCCGAATCTTCGACAACATGGAGTTATCATTTCCTGTATTTCATATGCAGCAGCACTGGAAAATTATAAGTAATCCTATTTTTACAGTACTGTCCAGAAATAACCTGACACTGAGGCTGCGGTTCGGTCGCGGTTAGGATGCAGTTCGGTTGCGGTCGACCGAATAGAAACCGCAGACGACCGCCATGAGAAAACACCTTCCCAGTAGCCGTTCGCTTCCAAACGCAGGCGCGGATCTAGACCGATCGAACGTGGCTTGAGCCATGGTCAGATCTTCCCAGCTAGAATTTTTCAGTTTCATCTTTTTGGTTACGAAATGCAATCTAATATTCACACATTATTTAGAAGTACATATAATTTGAGTAATATCTTTCGTAATCGTTATTATACTATTACCAATTCTTGCTCAAAGTGGGAACAAATTCCCAATTATTATTCCTTGTTACATAGTATGATCGTTCAGGTAACACTGAACTATAAAATTCGCCGAAAACTTGCCGAATTGTGCCGAGTATGTTCGGAAGCTAGTCGTGCATTCGAAGCTGCGATCACTGCAACTAGTTGACACGGTTGGCGTTCAGATTATTGCGCAATTGTTTCTAAATATAAAAACGTTCGAACACGGTGCAGTGTAGCAAACCAATCACAGGGCAAGCTTTTGCCACGTGAGCCACAATGCGACAGGTGGCCTGTTTTTGATTGCGCAATAAGCATGATAAACAATAAAGTTCAATACTTCTCGACTTCGAACTCGGATATAGTTTATACATAACACGTTAAATTAGTCTGTTCGCTCTATCCTGGCTGAATCGAATGCATTAATACATGTATCCGTCGAAATTTCCCAAAAGGAAATCTAAGCGAGCATATTTCAGGGGAAATATCGCTCTTCAGGGTACAGCATGATGGAATTAATAAAGAATGGCTTCGCCCGTTCGCGATAAAGAGTCGCAACGAGAATTTTTAAACTACTATTTCCCAAGAGACTAATACTGAAAATCCTTACTTAATTTAAATCAAATCAACACTCCCTCTCCCCAACATTCAAAGATATAGTGATTTCAAGCACCCTAGTTAACTGTTTGCACTGTGGAGTTCAGGTATACACTAATAGCTGTCGTTGGTAAATAACATGTATGTGTTGTACTGATGTAGGACCCATATAAATCATGAACGACATGAAAAAGCTTATATAGTGAGATCAATATCACATGCACATGCCATAATGTCTAGTACCCATACCACTCATAGTAACACGTGTAGGCTTGCATTAGACCTGCGCGTCATAGCAATTAAGGGTCATTACTTAAAATTGCGTGCAAAATTTGAGACTTTACAAATGGGCTAGGAGAAAACGCAGAAACGGAATATGGAGTACGGAATGGAATAGCGAAAGCGATTCCGCAAATAAGGATAAAATACGGATTCCGGAAGCGGATTCCGCAAATGAAGATAAAACGCGGAATTGCGCAAAACAGATTAAGGAGCAGATAAAAACCCAAATGCGCAAGTGCCGTCGACGATTCCCCTAAAGTGGTTGACAAAGTTCAACTTTCAGGTCAACTGCGTTCCAAGTTATCAGTTTCCAAATATATTTTCAGTAGTTAGCCATACGATTTTCAATATGTGTACGAATTTAAACATATTCCGATATCTATAAATGCGTTGAAAGTTCTGCATGACATGGATATTTCGCATTGAGATTTAAAACCTAGCAATGTCCTGGTTTCAAATCAACACCATTGTTACTAGACAGCGGGATCTCGCTTAGAGGTCTATCTCGCTAAGCGGGCCAGCCTGGCTGTAATATAAACAGCCCTTAATACTGCATAGAATTCTATTTTTTTCTTTGGCCGCAAAGACGACCAGAATTATCACCATTACTTAGATTTTTAGTTTTATTTGTTTACGGGCAGCTTTGCATGTTTGTAAAGTCTGTTATTTCGGCAATACTCAACGTCGTTGACTTAAATATATTACAAATTATGTATAATGCACTAGTTATGCCTCATTTTAACTATTGCTCAACTATATGGCAAAATAATAACAAAACACATTTAAATAAATTACATAAACTTCAGAAGCGTGCGCCTAGAATTATCACAAACTCAGACTATACTATTAGATCCTCAGTCATCTTTCAAAAACTAAATTGGAAGCCCCTTGACTTAATTCTGAAAAAACGTGATCTTTTTATGACATTTAAAGCCATTAAAGGCATACTTCCAAAATACATAAAAGATTTATTCCATGCTTGTGAAAACAATGGCTATGAACTGCGCAGTAATAATTTAAAGCTGCTTCAACCTAAACCAAAAACAAATTTTCTGAAAAACAGCTTTTCATATAGAGGAACAACATGTTGGAACAACATTCCAACAAACCTCCTGATTCAGTTAAGAGAATCGATGAGTTTAAGAAATGTTCATACTTTACTCAATAATTACATCTATTCCAGTTCATAAACTTTTCCGATACTACACATAAATTTATATATTCAAATTCTGTAAATAGGTATAAGATAGTTTTGTTGTTTATATAATTAGCTTCTTATAAATGTAAATAGTACACGGCCCTTTGAAAAGCACACACGTGAAAGGTTACCGTGCCTAAAGAAAGAATAATAATAGTCCTTGGTACAGTTAGTAAAATGCGACATAACAGTTTCTTGACTGGCATTGTATTTCCTCATTTTAGGACAGGTTTGCTTTAGATATAATGTTAATTAAGTTTGGGAAGTAAATCGAGGATCGCAGACAATGGGCCGGTTTATAGATATCAGAATATGTTTAAATTTGTACATATATTAGAATCGTATGGCTAACTAATGAAAACATATTTGCAAACTGATAACTTGGAATGCAGTTGACCTGAAGATTGAACTTTGTCAACCGCTTTAAGGGAATCGTCGACGACAACTTGCCCATTTGGGTTTTTATCTGCTCCTTAATTTTTTTGCGCAATTCCGTGTTTTATCCCCATTTGCGGAATCCGCATTTTATCCCCATTTGCGGAATCCGCGTTTTATCCCCATTTACGGAAGCTGCTTTGGGAATCCGCGTTTCATTCCTGTTTGCGGAATCCGCTTCCCCCATTCTGTTCCGCATTCCGTATGTATTCCGGAAAGTAAACTAGAATAACAACTGTATGTTAAACATATGTCAAATATCAGAAGCATGCATAATTAGTCGCATGGCGACTCTGCAATATCAGTCTATGCAAATTTAGATATATAGTTCTTAATTTCAATAAATAACCAGCAGGATACCATACGTATTCTTATTCGCTAGGTGTGTGTACATTTCTTAGCGTCTATTTCGTTTATTTCTCTCATGATATAGGTTGAAATATGGTCACCTAGTTGGATTATCCCTTTCAATAATTGTTAAAGGTACGTTCGTGTCTCTTTCTTGAATATTACATATTATCATTTTACTTCGTAATAGCGACGTATGCAAGACACGGCGACGCGCTGTGTCGTCATGTTAAAACGTTGGCGAAGCCTTCTAAATAACCTTTATATATATTTATATATTATATATATATATATATACATCACATATTACACTTACAATTCAAGCAAGGAACAGCTGGTTGAAAAATGAGTGAACTATAGGTCCACCGGCAGGTATCGAACCTACGCTTTTAAAATCATAATTGATTTACCCTCACCTATTCCCGGCATTAAGCATCATATATACACATTAACCACTCTTGCTCTTGTCAGGTACCTCTGTAGCTTAGTGGCAAGAGCATTGCACCGGCATCGCAAAAGTGTAAGTTCGATTCCCACCCGCGAACCGATATTTAACTCATTTTTCCATCAACTGCTCCTCGCTTGAATTTGAAGTGTGTATAATTCCACTCGAAATTAAGACTGTTTAAAACCTCTAGAATTTACCTATCTACATCAAGTGAAGTGCCAAATATCATAACTGAATTACCCTATTTCTAATCGTATTTCGTAAAATCGTATTTCGTATTTCGTATAATCGTATTTCCCTAAGACTAATATATATATATATATATATATATATATATATATATATATATATATATATATATATATATATATATATATATATATATATCAAACACAAAGTCTACTACGAATCAAAGTATATTTGAATATAAATAATTGTTAAAGCTTATATAAATTTTCGATTGTATTCCACAACCTTCATCAGAACTAACTTCGTCTACTGAGCAGATCTTGGACATTTGTTACTTATATATATATCTATATATATATATATCTGTATATATATATATATATATATATATATATATATATATATATATATATATATATATATATATATATATATATATATATACCCGTTTGCAAAAACGTTCGCCGCAGATAGATATATAGATAGATACTCGAAATCTAATTAGAATTGCATATGTTGTGTAATATGATTGAAAACCAATGCAAATGTAATCATATGCAATTCTAATTAGACTTCGAGTATCTATCTATCTATCTATCTGCGGCCAACGTTTTTGCAAATGGGTGTATATATATACATCGTATCAATTAGTTCGAAATCCTTGTTTGAAACTTATCTCATCTTATGCATTGTTGGACGTCAAAACAAATGGTCATCATTTACTAGTCAATTACTAAGCATTGAATCGAGACTAATAAAAAGACCTTAAGACCGACAAAAATGCATTAACACACAACATTGAATTGAACAAAGAACCAGCAGGATAGCATCAGAGTGTTTGCTGTATTCTTGTCTGCTGGAATTGTGAACATTTCTTAGTGTTTATTTATTTATTTGTGTCCTAAATCTGTAAAATTGCCTACATAGTGAATATCTTGGAGTCGCGTACGAGAGTCGATTATTGTGTGTGTGTGTGTGGGGGGGGCTGATATTCACATAGTCATGTTGTGCAAGATTAATTTCTTTTCAAATACATAGTCTTTTATTACAGGCCTGTTAACATGAATATATGAATATGTGCCCCATGAATGCGCCCCATGTTAACATGAATATATGAATATGTAAATGTTACAGCTAGAACGAGCAGCTAGAACTTGCCCGCTGAAATTACTCTAGAGAGTCTGGTCATTGCTCTACCATGTGCATTATCAGATTCCCACCTACACGCTTTGAGAAAATTGAAAGAAATATTCAAATGCGTGTAGTAACCTTGGCTAATTTGGTTGACAAGTGATAACCACGATAGTATGCCGTCAGATCATAAGAGGTTTATTTCGTAGCTGACAAGGTGCAGTAATTCGAACGACTCAAAATATCGCTTGCATGCTTAACTCATTGCCATCCAATCAGATGACATTTCGAAGTGGTCAGCTGATTTTAACTTGCGATTCCTGTTCGAATACTTGACCGATTTTAATAAAAATGGGACCACTTTAAAGACGAAATTGTCCTCAGTGCATACATTTTTTTTTATATCGGGGAAACATCAACTGATGCATTGCTTTAAATTCTAATGTCATTTGCAAAGGCAATTATTATCTACTTGGGTACAGTTATAACAAAGTTGATTTTAGTAAATAAAAAATATTAAACAGTATTTTCATTATATTAAATACATTTTAACGACAGAATCAGAATATATATAAAAAATTATATTTATAAGCGCTGATTGGCTGAATTATGAGCATGAGATCATCTGGTTTGTTATGTGACAACAAAATTCATTATTTTGTCGATCAATGAGCGTCATTCGATTTAGATAACCTGATTTTATTTGGACAATACTATAAATCATCGATGTCGATTCAAATGAATGCATGTTGATTAAATTCAATTAGTTTCAGTGCATTATTGTTAATTAGTCACAGAGAAAAGTCCGACATCCAAGAATTGTAAGCTCGTTCGAAACAGCTCGAAATATCTGTTAACAGCTGGTAATATACGTTGATGGGTGGAAAATGATAGTCGGCAGTTATTGTTCCAGTAGAATTATATATGCTTGGTTGCACCGTTAGCTGAAGATGTTAGTGCGGTTAGACCCAGCAGGAATGCACAGGTGGTTTGCAATGTTGAGTACCGAGATCTTATCAACGTGAATTTGTTAGAGATCATAGCTCCAATTCATGGATCCAATTATACACCACTAGTGGACGGGAATTGATTTTTATTTTGTAACGTTTAAATTTGTAGGCGTCCGGTCTTAGTGGAATTTATTGACGATTGACGATTCAAATAGGCGAAATGCTTTCGATGGAAACGTTTCAGAAGTCGGCAAGTCTCCACCGCAATATATTTATACGATGGCGGCTTGTGCATACCTATTTACATTGAAAATTTCTATCAACTATTGAGGCTTCAGGATTCTCATATACTATTTTTAATGCCAGGAAATTCACTGGGGAAAAGAATTATTGATACACTCACATACTGTGTATTTATAAATATAGACATAATATATGATGTACAAATTCTCCAACAATATATAAACACGAAAGAGTCAGACTGAATTTAGATTTTCCGCGCTGGCTCCTCTACCTCTTGTCCTGGTTTAAACGTTCTTTGGTGTTTCTTAAACACACAGCCAAAAAATGATATATCCCAGTTATTAGGTTATTACAGTTTTGTTATTATAATATTAACTCTCTGTGGATTGGCTAATTGCGCTGGGACTGAAAAGGGGCGGTTAACAAAAAAAGATAGCCAAACCCGGCAGGAGGTCTTTCGCCGTCGTCGCCTTGCCTTATCTCATGGACCGCCTGCCACGCAGGCTAGGATCCAATTATTTTGCAAGTTTCATTGGCAACAACTTTTCGCTGTTGTAATCAGTTTAAAATTGAATGCCATCATTCATCACTAATATAAACGCATATTGTTGAGTGGTAGTTACCAGTAATCTATGATATCTCTCCTTTGTCTTGTGTGAAGTAGCTTAATGTTGCTTTAGAAAAGAGATCATTGTTCTTGTTTGGCATTTGCTGCGGCAATGAACTGATTGCAGTTCGGTATGTGGAACAACAAGCAACGCTAATATATTTTAAAAAATTGTTCGTGACTGTAGCTTATTCAGAACTGAAAAAAGCAAAAACTCGAAAGAAAAACGAAGGCATATAGCTCGCATTTAATACGAATCTATGACTTAACTTTAAATATTAGTATTTCTGCCTCGATATTATGTGAAAACAATTCACGGAAAGGCCTGCGTACGTAAGTTTAAACCTCACTGTTGTGAACCCAACACAATAGAAATTTGATTTATATTACAACGCCAATCGACAACGTCAAAAGCCAACGTTGTGAATATAATAAAAACGAAACAAAAACATAAGAATAATCTATGAAATACTGACCATTTCCGCAAATAATTAATCTGAGAGTTAAATACTGATCAGGTTGACAAATTATAGGCTCTGTCCAGTCTCTTTCAAACTCGGCGGACAGACATGCATCATTGCGCATCGCTTTTTTCGTATAACATATAATGGTTACGAACCCACGAAGTATAACGTACATTATAATTAAGTCCAACGCCTTTACCAACTCTGGCGGCCATCCTAGCATTTTGTATTTTAAAGTTATAAATATCTAAGACTCGCGTTAATTGGTGGCGACAGGACTGAATTAGCTGGATGATTTAAGGGATAAAGGTCCTGAAAAAGCAAGCAATAATTATGTCATGATTACACAATGTGCTACAGCCTTTGCATACTAATTACTTCCGTAGCCATAGTGGAGGCTATCACTACTGATTTCTGACCCCGTTAAAAGTTAATTTAATTCCGCACAAATCCGTCGAGATTAGTCCAAACGGCTAATCGACTAATCAAATGAGCGCTGGGCCACCGGATTCAGCAATTATTTTGCGTTTTACCACTGCTCAAGGTAACAGAACAATGTTTTACTGAAGCGAAACCCTTCACATCGGACTATGACATGAATTTTATATTATAACCCTGAAGGAAGTCTATTATTTATCCCCGAGCCGGTGCGAAGCACCGGGCGTGGGTACTAATTCCGCCCGGAGATTTTAATTACGCCCGGGAATGAAAATGCGAAATGAAAGTTGTCCGCCATTATGTCATGGACGTTGGGCGTTTTTTATGTTTTGCGCATGCGTGAGTATAAGACGACTTAAATCTGGTAACTAGCAAACGTTTACAAACGTGCGATTGGCTAAATTAAAATTTGGGTTCACGTCAGCATAACTGATATTTTGAATTATAAAACTTTTTTTAAATAATATTTTTCATTTGGATGGTCTTAGAAATATACGAAAAATTGACTCGTAAAATTGATTAAAATATAATGTAACAGATGCCTTTGGATAGAAAAATTTTCATTCAAATAGATGGCAAAAAATTTACGATTTTGAAGCATTTTTAAAGTGTTTTTGAACAGGTAATTAGGTAGATTTTGTATTTTAAAGCATACAAGTATCCTGTAAGTTTAATATGTGGATTTATCAACAAATATATGCCACTTCTTTGAATTTATTCGTCAATTTTGTTGAAATGATTTAGATTTGGAAAATATTTATTTTTAAAGGTGAATTTGTTTAAAAAGTAATTGAAATTTCGCTAAAATTGTAGTATTTAAAACTATTCGTAGCACAATTATGATTATAGTCGAATTTGATAGCTCGAGAGTCGACTTTATAATTGTATCAAGATAAAAGATTTTACTTTACGACTTTGATCATTCAGCAGAAACGAGTATTATAGAATTTCAGTGATGAAAATATAAGTTTAATGGTTCAGGCGAGGAGACTTTGCATGCAATGTATTTCTAGTATTTATAGTAAATATAAATTCAAACATTTAATTCAGTGCTAATTTGGTGCGACATCATGCAGGATGTCGTAGAATATAAGCAAGTCTACTCCGCCCTATTCTTTTTCTTGGTGTAACCTACATAAATAGTACAACCATTTTTTACAGCAATTAACCCTGTCTAATGAGATGTCTTCTGTCGAAGAGGAAGAAAAGGCAAATTTTACATGACTGAGTAGACTTTTGGTTGACAAAGGAACTGAGGCTTTGAGGAATACATTTGATACCATCCATCCACCTGTTAGTCTACCCGGAGTACTGGCTACAATCAAAACATCTCTTCAAAGGTTAAAACCTCGAGTTATTAATCATTCCCAGTGGGATTTACTGTTCCCTCCGTCTGGCAACCCACCAGATTCCAAAACCTTTGATGTCACATTACTTACAGTTCTATTCCGGAACATTTGTGGCTTTCCATCAACCGGATGGAGTGCAATGCCTCCAGATACAGATAGATCATTGCAAGCGAATATTGCAAGAATTAAGTGGTTTAGGAATGATGTTTATGCACATGTAACATCAACTCGAGTTAACAATTCCACATTCGTGTCTTTATGGAAGAAAATTGCACAGGCGTTGGTTGAATTGGCAATTCCCCAGAGTGATATCGATGACTTAAAAACTTCATCTTTGGAGCCTGAGGATGGAAAGTATGTGAAAATTTTTGAACAATTGAAAATTATTGAAAGTTCTATAGATCATTTGACCAGAATTACAGAAGAAACTCGGGAAGAAAATGAGGAAAATATCTTACGAAAACTTGCAAAGCACAACTTTAAGGGTAAAATTGAAAGAAAAGTGAAGTTCTTTCAAACTGGAACAAGAAATTGGCTGTTAGAAAAAGTTGATAAGTGGTTTCATGAAAGCAATAGTGATTCCAATATGTTGGTAATAACAGCTGGACCTGGAGTGGGTAAAAGCGTGTTCGCCGCTAAAATTTGTGATGATTTTGAAAGGATTGGAAAATTGGCTTCATGTCATTTTTTTGATTTTAATAACTCAAATCTAAGAGATCCTATGGTTATGCTGCAGTCTCTCGCAAGTCAAATGTGCGAAAACGTTCCCGGTTTTAAAGAGAAGCTCTTTGATCAGTTAAAGCGCCCTCATGATGTTCTGAACCTAAAAGATGCCTTCCAAATATATTTGCAAAATCCTCTGGATGAATTGAAATTAGATGAATCATGTTTGGTTGTGATTGATGGCTTGAATGAAAGTGCTACAGATTATAAGAATGAAAATATGGATTTGATCGCTGAATATTTTCCAGAGCTACCCGAGTATATCAAAATCTTGATGACGAGCAGGCCTGTGATTTCCGTAAAAAGACTAGGGGCTGTTCAAAAGATTCATATTGCAGAAAATGACGCGAACAATAACTCAGACATGGAACTCTTTTTAAAAGAATGTCTTCCAATCCTTGTTGACAGGAAAGTACATACAAGGGATGTGGTAAAAAAGGCCATTAATATTCACTCTCAAAATTTTCTAAGTAAAACTATTAGTTTACTTCCATTTCTCGTCGAAAAATGCGGGGCTCATTTCTTTATGCATATCACTTTCAATTTGGGCTAAGGAACCGCTATGACCTCGAGGTCATTACCTATCAGGACATCATCGAGTTTCTTCCAGAAGGGCTAAATTCGATTTACCTGCGATATTTTAAGCGCCTTGAAGACGAGCTTGAAGCCATAAAGCATGAAAAGTTGGATGTATTTAAGATTTTGGAAATGCTGGCCGCTTCTAAAGGATCTCTTCCCCTCACTTTCATAGCGCAGGTTTTTGGTTTAGCTCCAGATTGTCGCGAAACGAAAGACATAATCAGCAAAGTTAATGAAACCGTATCGTGCTTGTTGTACGTTTCAGATGACATGTTAACCGTTTTTCATAAATCCGTCATTGATTGGCTCTTAGGAAAGGGATACGAAAATCACCAGTATACAGTCAAGTTCGATAACGGAAATAGATCGCTTTGGCTTTTATGTGAAAAAGTTTTTAAAGAAATTAAGAATTCTGTTTACTCCGGGCATAGAGTAAACTTAACAAGTAACGTAAAATATGCACTGGAACATAGTTTAAAACATCTAGAAGAGAGTAATATGGAGGTTGGAATCTTTTGGTCAGTGGATGTTGCAATCCTGTGTTATATGTTGTTGGTCAACCCAGTTGTTATAGGCGATTATTTGACCTTTTGGAGCAGGATTCTTCGAAGTCCCCACATTAAAAACGAGGAACTACGTGCTCGCATTTCATGGCATGTCATTGAACTTGGCATTTTGCGTGATCACTCGAGATTATTGATTATGCCGTTACTTTTCACTGTTTGTTTTAAACAACCTGTGAAATCATGGCATGAAATTTCAAGATCATATTTAGAAGCTGTTCTTACACATTCTCAACAAGGTTACTTCAGTGAGGATGAGAAGAAAATTGCAAAGTCGCTACTATCAAACCATTCACGATTTCTTGAATTGAATTCTTGTGAAGTACCAGTTCTTCCGCGAGCAGTCTGGAGACCCAGTTATGATGCTTTTAATAAAGACATTGCTGCTGTTGCTTTATCCAATGATAAGGAAAGAGTAGCAGTTGGAACAAGAAGCTCTATCCATGTGATGTCCGTACCAACTTTAGTTGAACTTATTGAATATTCAACACAATTAAGAAGAGTTTCATGCTGCACATTTTCTCACGACGATTCGCTCATATTATTTGGAAAACTGGAAACAGCATTTAGCATCGCTGAGAACAAGGAGGTTTTATTTTTCCCTGGAAATGAAGAGACGTTCCTTTCCTGTGATTTTTCTCCCAACGGTAAGAGGATGGTGACTAGCGACGGTTCAAAAACCATTAAACTATGGGACGTTTCTAAACAAAGGTTGCTATCGTCGCTTTGTGCTGAATTTTCCGTTGATTGGTGCACTTTTAGCATTAACGGGTTATTTATTATTGGAAATTCAGAATCGCTAAGCTCGAAGTCAATCGCCAGTTACTCGTTTTGCGTTTGGAACGCTATTACATTGAAAAGGAGTGATCAGCGAATTATATCTAACATGCACAGAAAGGAGCAATCAGTTTTAACCGAAAGTAGAAGAAAATGTGAGCGATGTTTTCAACAAGGATTCCAGAAACTCAATTCGAAGCAATTGAGCTTACGTTATCAATTTGGAAGCAAATTTGTAACTTTGTGTCCATGGATTTGCAAAGATGAAAAGTGCATTTCCCCCCAGCAAGAGTATTCTGATTTTAGTGTCATAGAAAGCATTCTTTTGACAGCGTTTGCTGCCTGGAACGACATTCGCGCGATTCATTTGTCTCTAAACGATACGTTTTTGAAATTGACAGATGTAAAAGATAATCTGTGGCTTTATACAGATACGGAAAAACTGATTGTCCTAAAGACATTAACTCCAACACAAACTTCCTGTCCGTTGTCACACTCCACCGTGGTGTATTCAAGTTCGTTTTCTCCGGACGGCTCTCGACTTGCATCCTGCAACTCAGATGGATATATCAACGTATGGAATGTCTATACCAGCCAAGTTCAACAACGTTTCAAAATCAATCAATACGGGTCAAGATTTTTATGCTGGTGGTCGAAAAATTTCTTGTTTGTGATTAGCGGGTTTAACGGGATTCCAAACTTAACGCGATATCCGGTAGATCACAATGTAGACATCCTGTTTACTTATAGTAAGGAAATGCCCTTGAGTCATTTAAAAGCTGAGCTTGACGGTTTAACTTCTATTCTTGATTTTTCTGAAGGTTTTCTCAGTTTTGTTTGCTGTCGTAATGCACCCATAAATGTTCTCAATGTCGGTAGAAATGATGGTCCTGTAATGGTAAATTTGCCTGGAATTGAGCCTAAGATGGATGTCAAAATCTCGCCTGGTGGTGCCTTTATCTTTGGTGGTAATAAAACTAATCATTATATTTGGAGAAGAAACTCGGAAAAATCAGATTTGTATGAAGTATTTTTTTCTCGCGATGCTATAACGAGTAAATATGGTCATAGAATCTCATGTTCCTTCACAGGTAGCCCGCTATTGGATTTGCTTTTAGTTAAATATTTAATACATTCTATGCAAAACGATATGAAGTGTCTCCTTCCTTCATTCACTGCTGACATATTATCGCATGCGCCAATTCGTGCGGTGCAGTGTAACCTTTATGTATATATTAATATAAGGTTGGCAACTCTTTGTCATTTTTTCACATTTACGAATTACATACACAAACTTACACATGAAAATACTCGTACTTAAACACAAAAATATATACAAAAAACTAAATCTATGTGGGAACTGACTCTCCTAAAACATTTCCGAAACATTTGTTTGTCTTTAAAGCCATTGCAAATATGTGAAATTTACGAAAATACAAACACTTTTTAGGTGATTTTTTTGAAAAGCCGTCGGGATCCCATCACCCTGCCCTACGTCACAGCAAACACGCAATATGATTGGCTTAGTTTTGAATTTTGAAATTTGTTTACGTTAACGGGACTCAACCAGCCAATCATATTGCGTGTTTGCTGTGACGTAGGGCAGGGTGATGGGATCCCGACGGCTTTTCAAAAAAATCACCTAAAAAGTGTTTGTATTTTCGTAAATTTCACATATTTGCAATGGCTTTAAAGACAAACAAATGTTTCGGAAATGTTTTAGGAGAGTTACTTCCCACATAGATTTAGTTTTTTGTATATATTTTTGTGTTTAAGTACGAGTATTTTCATGTGTAAGTTTGTGTATGTAATTCGTAAATGTGAAAAAATGACAAAGAGTTGCCAACCTTATATTAATATATACATAAAGGTTACACTGCACCGCACGAATTGGCGCATGCGATAATATGTCAGCAGTGAATGAAGGAAGGAGACACTTCATATCGTTTTGCATAGAATGTATTAAATATTTAACTAAAAGCAAATCCAATAGCGGGCTACCTGTGGTTCCTTCAGCAATGATTCAAGAGTCGCTGTTATATTTCACTCGCATATTGACCGCAGTTACGTGATTTATTCGGATAGTGGAGGTTCCCAAAGAGTAGATTCCAATTTCGGCTGTCATCCACTTGGCTCAAAGCCAATTTGTTTGATAAAGAGCAGAGTTATTATCTCTGTACCTAATCACGTAATAACATTTTATAACATGGATTCTGGCAAGATTCTTTACCGTTCCTTTCGACGATACCTGAAAGTTAATTGGCTGCGAGAAACAATTAAACTTTCCCCGAAAGAAAACATGCTAGCCTTTCCGGATATAAAAGGCGATATGGTGTTTCTTCGACTGTTCCTTTAGATACTTCGTTAGCCGAAATTATGCGAGAAGTATATGTTATAGTCGATCTATATTACGTGATGGCCAGGGCGATTAGAAACAATTCCTAAAAACTGAGACCGATGACAGTCTTTATTACAGTCATGTTGGTGGTAATAGTTCACATATGCTGGTCTCTACGACAGTGTTGAGGGTAATTGTGCTGGTTATGAAAGAATGCCATGAATTATGCAACTATGTAGCAGCTGCAATTTGTGTTCGAGAAATATGATCTTCACGAAAAAGAAAGATCGGAATTACATGAAGTATGTATATTACATGGACGTTCATCTTGGAATAACGATGTTTATATTCAGAAGCGGAAGTTGAAAAATTGTGAGAACTTGTCTGAAACGTGAAAAATATTTTCTTCGAGACATCTGATGTTCATGAAAAAGAAGGTCACGAAACAACAAAACAACTTTTCAAACGTTTAAAACGTCGTGTTTTGATCTTAAATGCGTTCGACACTGCGAAATTAGAAACCCTACAGATGGTCGGTGTCTTAATTTAATATACTCAACCTTAGATTTTTATTTAACGATGAAAAAATATATTATGAATTCGAACGTGCCTGGAGCACACAAGTACATAAATTTGTAATTCTGTAAACCATCTCATGATTTCACTTTGTTGTCGAAATTCATATACCAAATTGCCTATAAATGTATTATAACATCCGTAAGGCCGGTTTTCCACTAGCGATATTTTTCACGCAAAGCGACATTTTACTTTTGTAAGTGCGGTTTTCCATTAGCGATATTTTTTTGCGCAAAGCGACTTTATTCTTTTTCTTTTGTATTGATAGGGTTGCAGTTGAGATCTCTGAAACAAAGAGTAAAATCTCGCTTCGCGCAAAAAATATCCCTTGTGGAAAACCGGCTTAAAATTGTCTCGTGTGATATTAAGTTTGAGGTAATTGTACAAAGATCCAGTGTTGTTAGATTAGCTAAATAATTTATTCAAAAACGTTCACTAGTGTCCAAAAGAAAACAAAAAACTAATGGGATGACTGTATTTGCCTACTTTATTTATCCAACCCTACCATGAGCCATATTCGCCTGGAGAATGGATCAAAACATGGTCAGTAAACTTGATATTTGTTTATTTGTTTCTTTTTTTGTGAACGCACTGTTAATTTGAAGGTGTCAATTTAGCACCAAAAAAGGTGTTGAATGAATATGGCAAAAATAACACCTGTTGAGGTGCTATTTTAACACCATAACCTGGGTGCTAAATTAACTCCAATCCCTGGTGCTAAATTAACGCCCATTCTAGTGTCAGAATAACACCTTTGGGTGTTTAAATAGCACTACATTTGGTGTTAAAGCAGCACCTTTTTACCTACTGCAATTTAATGTGCAGTTCTTACATCAGTAATCATATCTAAATCAAAATTAATGACACTTATACAAGGAAATAAAAAATCAATATATTTGGTCACAGTTGCATATTTACAATTGCTTCTGCAGGACTATTTACAAAAACAACCAGACAAATATTCACAATTTTCGATAATCAATGTCAAGTTCTTATAATGCTACATTACAATTTTCGACAAGCAATGTCAAGTTCGTATAAATTTATTGACACAAACTCACTTCCCAGCATGTTCTTTCATGGCCATTTTTTATTATTTGTATGTCCTCATTTGTATATGAGTCATCAACCCTAAGATAAATTTATCAAAAATCATTAGTATTATTAGCAAGTCAAATCAGCCCACAAGGTTTCTTAACATAAAGAGGAGAGATTCTCCTTCAGTTAGACCTAAAGCAACCACTAGCTGTGCTCTGAATGTCTGTTTTGAAAAACAAATTGTTTATCAAATATCAATAACAGAAAATCTAGTTAGGTTACCAAAAACTATAATAGGTACACTAAACATTGGATAAAGACAGTCTAAATTGCAGATTGTGGGGCAATAAACTACAGGTGACACTGTAAAACACCTCCTTGGGAAAATTATAGTATATTAATTGCATGATTTACCTGATTCTCTGTGCAGCTAATCTTGTTTCTTGTTTCTATCCTGTTCGAAAGAACCAATACATACTTCTTGGCACAATTTTTGGCATTCCTAATTGAAATTTGCCAGCCATACCATGGACCAATTTGTTCTTGCACATTTCACTTCCAAATTCTGCCTTTACCTGCAACAAAATAATAGAATGTGTTCAGTGAACTTTGTTATTTGACTAAAATATAAATGTGAATTTGAAAAATGACAGGCTAAAATGGGACTCTCAGGTATAAACCTGTAGGAGATTATATTTACTTATTTGTAGGAGATTAGATTTTATTACTTACAGTAATAATTTTATCAAAAGACATACACAGGCATTGATTTTAAACAAATAACTTGCCCTCTAAAATCAAATTTATCAAAATAGAGCAAGGGTTATCGTTAATATATTAAAATAGAGCACGGACAATCGTTGATATAGGATAAAATATTTGCAAAATTATGTCAATAACATAAGAGAAAAGCGATGTCTGCGAAGACGCATCATAAAATTAAGGTAAAGTAAATATGAATAGATACCTATTATTGCAATGATATTTTCTTTGACCACAGCTTGCTGAAGAGATCGCAGTAAAGTAGAATACGTCATTTAGCTTCTCTAGAATAAAAAAATAGCACACATTTGTTTGTTTAGCGATTTGGCCGTTTGACTTTGAGCGAACATGGATACTGTGTATGTCTGTATTTGATCAAATTCAAACACTTACCAAAATATTTCTGAGATAATACCACAACCAATTGCCTTGAAATTTCCTTATGGGCGCCCGTTGTTGTTAAGGATATTTAGAAGTACCAAAATAGTTGAGTAAATACGCTCAAAACGTCTTTAACACAGCAGCATAAACATCTCGATGAATATACGATTCAAAAGAGTTTTCAAACGACGCGCTCAAAAAATTTGCATGCAGGCGCCGGCACGTGTCATATTTCGTTCCTTATATGGACATACATAGTATGCCTATACGCGATTGCGAAATATTTACTTTGTAGCAATCAATACATAGCACAAAATAACATAGTTTGATAAAATAAAAAGGACAATGGATCACTATCGATGTATCTCGGGGTTTTTTTTATATAGAAACGTATCTGTCGTATTCATAGCAACAAGCCGAATTTCCATGTCGTTTTTTAGATGAATAGTTGTGCGAAAACGCACGGGAATTCTTTGTTCCAAAATCATCTCATTCGAAAATTCAAATTTATTTTCCAATAGCTTGAATAAAATCAAACCTGCTCTTTCCCGGCCTATCCGCCATTTGGTGTTATTTTGACACACCATATTTAACTCCCTATATGGCGTTATTTTAACACTTTCCGTCGGTAAAAGAGGTGTTATTTTGGCACCTTGCAATGGTGCTGGTAATATGGTGTCATATTAGCACTTTTAGCGCCAATCCAAGATTTGGTGGTGTTAAATTAGCACCGAAGTTGGTGCCAAAATAGCACTTTCTATTTAACACCACTGCATGGTGTTGATTTGGCACCTACGGTGGTGCTATTTTGACACTTCAAAATTAACAGTGCGTTTATGAAAATTTTTACAGATTCAAGACAAAATTATTTTTGACTTTCTACCAACATCGGACCGTAGATCAGTTAACTTTATAAATCTATTTTGTGAGCTAGTTTGAGGCTGGGATAATTATTAAAATTCGGATGATAAGAAGGAGTCTCCTTTTTAGGGAAGATGCAATTTGCGTTCCTAAATAACACCCATGAGACAGATCATGAAAATCGTGGTTTATTCGCAATAGGCAATAGCCCATGAAAAATCGTGGTTTATTCAAAAATGACAGCCTGATATTTAAAAATACTTGGTACTTGGCATGCACCTGTTAATTATGATTAATCACCATGATTCCTAAATGCTAGACAATTGCATGTGTATAGTCTACTGACTGATGGGTTTTAATCAGTTCTTTGACCAAAAGTGCAAGGACATGGGGATATGTTAGGCACAATTTCGCTTCGGTTGTAACTTCACCCATATTTCTATTAATGTTCCCCTCATAACTAGCGCTTGACAACTGGACCTAAAGAATTAATTATTTGTAATTATTTGTCTTATTCCAACATATTAATTGAATATTATAACATACATATATTGTTATTATA